ACTCTGGGGCAAAAATGACCTCTGAAAGCCTTGGTCTCCACGTGCAACTTTATTTGGGAAAAAAAAGTGGGGTTCTGCTCATGGAATAAAGTTTGAAAACCACTGCTCTGTCCTTCTCTGTGTCTAAGTAAAAACTCCTGTTGTCTTGGGAACTTGGGGGTTGCCTCCTGAAAGGACGGGGTGAGGAGGAGAGCTGGGCGCTGAGCAGCAGGACCACTGCACTTAGGGGCCTATGGGGTCCCAGGTGTCACATGGGCCAGTCTCTGGGATCCACAATCTGCTCAGGCTGTATGCAAAATTCTGGGGTATGTGTGATATGAGGAGAGGGCCAGCAGCTTCCATGTCCCAAAACAAATGAGCAACTAAAACCAATCACCATCACCATAGAAACTCCTATGCTAGGAGCAGGGGGATAAGATCATGTAGGAAAAGGGCTGCTGGGGGGACAGGGTGGTGGTGGTGGTGCTGGTGGGGGGTGGGGGTGAACTAACAGCACATTTGCAAAGCACTTAGAATGGCACCTGGCATAAGGCAAACACTCTTTAGACTTTAATCACATATTATCATTTTAATTGTTACTATTCACTATTATCACTTTCATTGCCTCATTAGTCCTCACAAAAACTTTATGAGATATGTATTATTATCAATCCCACTTTATGGAATAGGAAATAGAGGCTTCAAAAAGTTAAATAATTAGCTCAAGGCCACAGCAGCTCAGAGAACAAACTCAAACTTGACCTGTCTGGCTCCCAAGCCCAGGAGGGACCTCAGACTAGAAGCACCAAGAGAAGGCGACAGAAGACTGCCTGAGACCCCAGGAGGAGGCAATGCTGGGAGGCCCGGATGACCCCAGGCCTGAGATCAGCCAGAGGGGATAACAGCGGGGGGGCCTTGCCCTGCCAGGACCAGGAGCACTTGCTAACTTTGCACTTTCCCTAATCTATAACAGAAAGCCAAGCCACTTAAGATAATAATGACTATAAAAGAAACCCACCCCCTGTGGCAGCCATTCCTAGGCTCCAAAGTGAGCCAGTGTCGTGGAGCACAGTGGGTCAAAGAGTGAGGCCGCCTAGCACCCGCGGCTGGGTTCCAAGCAATGTTTTTCCCTCCAAGTTAATACTAACTGCTGCACACACCCTTGAAAAGCCAAAAAGATGCGCCCCCTGGGTTGCCATGACAATGTAAAACAGACAAAACATTTAAACCAGCTCTGATGCACATACATAAACTTTAAGGGCAAATGGATGGATTCGGTAGAGGGGAGGGAACAGGGTCAGGAGTGCTGTATCTACAGCTCCATCTTCAAGGATTTGGCCCCAAAAGCATCTAGGTCAGCCCAAAACAGGACAAAGGACTCCTTAAACACAAGCTGAGGCCTGGCTTGCTAGGGAAAGGGAAGTCAGTGCCATGTCTCTCTGCATTTGGTCCCAGACCCAGTCCCACTCTACGAGGGCCGTGAGAAGGTTACAGCAGGTGCTCCTGGCTCTGCGTCTCCCTGGGGACAGCCCTCCACTACCTTGTCTCTTCACTGGGACAAGGGGAGTGTTATGCTGGCCCAGAGCAGAGTCAGCAGGATCCACTGTGCTCATAAGTGTGAAAGGGCTCGTAAACTTTAATGCACTGCAGGGAAGCACATTAGTGCTGATATTAAAAATATTAACCATCATTTCTCACCACACAGCATTTTTCATTTTCCAGATTCCATGGTTGAACTTCTGTCCATAGGAGTTGATGACCAGAGGTATTTTCCTTTAGAAAACTTCACCCCTAGGTCCAGTAGAGTTTGCTCCCCAAGATGCAGACATCTGGGTAGCGATGATGAATGCAGAAGCCTTGTCCCAGACCTAAGAAGATCACCAGGCCTGTGGGGTCTGCTGTACTCTGGCTCACTCTTCCATGCCCCATCCCCTACCTCGGACACAAAGGTGCTGAGAGGCCCAGAAGAGTTCTCATAAGATATAGATTATGGCACTTCAGTAGGATCGATGAACAAATGTTGTAAAACCTTTCTCTGCAAGGTCCATGACATCCTCAGGCAAACATTCTCCAGAAATGGGAATCCTCTTCCACTCACCATTCCCCTGTGGTGGATCCTCTTGCTTTTCAAGACTTACCCTTTAGAAGTTATTCTTAAGCTTCCCCTTGCCCCAGAAATCGGCCCCTGCTATGCTGCTCACAGATGTCTGGGGGAACAGGTGCACTGTTCTATTGTTCTTTGGGCTCCTGCCCACTCATCACTGAGTTCCTTGAGGGCAGGGATCACATCTTGTTCATCTGAGTATTCAGTTGGCACAGCCCAGTACCTGGCATTAGCTGGCATAGTGAAAAGGTGCTGATTGGTAGGCTCACAGTATGCAATGTCATGCCCATGTCTGTGTGTCAGTGTGCCTGGAATTCTCTCTCTGGTCTGTATGCCACCGGGGTCTGCTTTCACTTCCCCCTCCCTTTGGGAAGTCAGCAGATTTGAAGCTGAGTCTGGAGAGGGAGTCAGAGAATAGAGCTCTGGGGCAGGCTGGTGGGTCAGGAGGAAGAAGAGAAATGAGGGGGCAGGACAAAGAGGCAAAGGGCTGTGCCTCCTTCCCCCATTAGCTGATGAAATGAACCTGCCCTCTGAAAATTGGAAGAGCACTCACTCCTCCTGCTCTGAAACAAAACTGCTTTTCTTTGGCTCTATGATTAAAGGCTCCTGAAGATGCTCTGTCTTCTTAGGGAGTGAGCAATTCGACTCCATGCTGATTATTTTCAAGGGATCCACAATTATCATCCCATCAGGTCCACACCGCAAGTTCCCATCTCAGGGTGCACCATCTTCCTTTTGCCAAGATGCCGTTCTCCATATAGCTCCGCCCCCACACCCAAACAGGCTATTTAGCAAACAACAATAACAAATCTTTATCACTGGCCACCCTAAATAAACCTAACTAGGAGTTTACTCGTCTAGGAATTTAGAAATGGCAGCTCATACACTATGCCGTATTCCCAAATCAAGCTTCCTGTGAGTGGAAATGCTTTAGCTCTGTACATGCTCACATGTGCAAGCACACACACAGGTGTCCTACTGCCCAGCATATCCATACCTCTCTGTAAGCACTCCTGTGTGCACTAGGTGAATTCTGCCTTATGGGTTTGTCACTGGTGACATAAGGACAAGAGGGCCATTGTCCTTTCCCCTATCATCATCTTTCTCATTTCCTACAGAATGGAATAACTGTGCTGGAAGTTTAGATTTTCCTGGACTCATATCCCATATAATGAACTATTCTCTGCTACACTCACCACCAGACCATGTCTCCCTCTCCACCCCTAAGCTGGAACTAATTATCGCACAATTATAGGATTTTATATTCCTGTGTTCTAAAAAAAAACACAGTCCGTGAAAAAAAAAAACCCCAATACTTTCATAGCTCAAAGTTATGGAGAAACCACAAAATTGCATTGGTGCTATGATAGCATTTATAAAGACCATATTTGCAAATAACTAAATTTGCACAGAAGAATTTGAGTGATTATTAGTTTATAAGCTTGAAAATGGTCATTAACAACAAAAACACCTTCAACAGAAAGTGCAGAAAATATAAATGCCATAGCATAAAGGTTCACTACCTTCAAATGTCAGTTCTACATATGCATTATTCTGGGCTAGGACAAAGAATTGTTATGTGTCCCATGGGGAAATACTGCATCTCTTCCATAGGAAGATATGGCTGCCTGTGTAAAATGTTTGCCCTAACATTGTCTTCTATCTCTCAAATTTTCTCAATTATTAATACACCAGACAGCTGCAGTAGCTCTTGCAAAAAATAGCAGCCAAGCTTTTCCAAAAGTCAAAGCAACCATGAGATACATGCATGGGGACTTTCCTATGGCAAGGAGTGGTTGCTTTCTGGATCAAAGAAACAATCTCCAGTGAACAAGAAAAAAGAGAAATTTGTTTCAAAATGTAAACTGAAAAATGACCCCCCCACCATACCCATTCACTCCTCTTGAGAAGAAATTTTTTGATGCATGAAAAAAAGTTGAAAATGGTGTCTGTCCAATTCATTGGATAACAGACAATTCAGAAAATTAAAAGAGCAAACCTCAGGAATGCCAATCACTTTGGTGTATTTTGGAATGAGCCTGTCAAACTGTGCCAACTCAAAGGGAGTGGGGTGAGGTCAGAACAACTTACGCCTTTTTTTAGATTTCTGGAAGCAAACTGATGCCTTGCAAAAAAAAAATTGTCCTTAAGTTGCCACCGGCATATTTAGAACAGGTATTGGTGTCAACTTAACAGACTCTGGTAATACCAATTCTGTATAAATATTTATATTTGAAAAGCATTTTGAATGGAAAAACTAAGCATTCAGAGCCTCACAACTTAGTGTTTTCTAAACTCAACAGTGATCATGAATTTTAATTTGAAGATTATATGTGGAACATGCAACAAGAATATATTTTAAAAGGCTTGGTTTTATTTCAAAGCTATAATATTAGAGCTTAACAGATCACCCCAGAGAAAATATCATTTGTTAAGGTTACATTGAAAATGGTCTGAATATAATCACAAATTTCACATTTCCTGTCAGTTTAGATTTCACATCATTGTAACCTTTGAAGGCAATCAGAACACATGCCCCAGTTTCTGAGTAAGATACCATCACCCCCCATCCATGCCTCAGCACAACGGAATTGATGAGGAAACAGAGTGAGTCAGAATCGTCCGAGTTCTCCACAGGTGCATGTTTATACCAGTTCTGCATGATTTGTTTCTAAGAGAAAGGACACTATTTCATTTTTGCTGTCTCATAACCTATGTAAAAATCACAGCCATTTTTCAGTAAATGCCAACAAATATCAGAGAAGCCGACCATGGCCACTTGGAAATGGCTGGGAGTTTATTAATATAATCCCCTAGAGTAAAGCTTATGGTGTGAACATTTTCCAGATGGTCAATATCATTTAGAGGCAGGGCTTAACAACATAACACAAACACTCACTACCTGTGTACCACTTACCATTTGTGACCTGTTCTTCGGACAGCCATTGATGTCTTCAATTTTTTCATTTGCTGAAAAAGGAAACACAAATCAGAAAAATAAATTATCACCACAGACACTTTGAGTAGTGATGGTCAGCACCCTTGAGGCCAACCAAGACCAAAGGCCCATACTGGGGTTTGTCCAATCAGCGCAGGCATGTGAAATACTGAGCCACATCTAGCAAGTGTCAGGACTTACTCATCAAGCTGCCATCCCTCAGGGACAGCTGGGGCAAGGTCGTCATCATCTAAAGCAGAGACAACTGCATTGATGACAGTATTGGAGTGATGGGGCATCATGGAAATGTTTGGAGACTGGGAAATGGACTGAGCAGTGATTGCACTTCAGGCGTTTACAAAGATAACTGCAACCTTCCCGCAAAAGATGGGATGGTTCAGAATGGATCCTTCCGACCACGACTCAGCAACTGGGGGCAAAGGCTGGGGATGACAGCATCTCACCCCATCTTTAGCCAGAAATACTAATACTGCTTCATATTAATAGAATTACTAATAATGTGATAATAAAGTGCCAAACAAAAAAATAAAACTTAAATGTGGTTCATCCAAGGCCGTACAGTAATCCAAGTTAGATCTGGAACACCTACCTACTTAGAAGTGAAAGAAAGACAGTACATTGAATTAGCTGGAAATCAAATAACCATGCAAGGGAAGATAGGACCAGCCCTCATGGTGGAGTATGGGGGATGCCCTGCTGGCCACAGCCCAGGATATCTTCAGAGGCCTTGAGTTAGCGACCACAGCAGCACAGAACAGGCAGTGTGCACACAGACTAGGATATCAGCTTTGGAGGAAAGATACTTGGGTTTGAATCCCAGCTCTATAGTGTCTTAGCTGTGTGATCTTAGCCATGCCTCTCAACCTCTCTGGACCAGTTGCCTCACCTATAACTTGGAGCTGATACAGCCTACTTCATAGGAAGAGCTATGCGAAACAGATTATATGATGCCAGTAAAATGCTTGGCATTGTATCTAGCGCAGTGTTGTATAAATGGTAGCTATCATCAACCCATTACTATATTAACATCTAAGTAAACCACATAAACTAAAAATTTCCTTTTTGATGTCTCCGAGTTAAGCCCAGAACTCACCCAGGACTCTAGAGTAAAGAACTAAGAATTTACGTCCTCTGTGAACCCTTTATAAGCTCCCCGATTCCGTGTCCCTGCATCCCCGGCCACCATCCCCAGAAGGACAAGGCACACTCAGATCGTCTCTGCGCTCTCTTAGCACCCTGTACCTACCTCTGTTTTGTTCTTAATCATCTAACGTATAACTCCTTTCCTGTCTCCTCCAGCTATGCTACAAGAGCCAGGAAGACGTGTAGATTTTGTTTTTCACATTTGAATACTGAGGCCTCAATAAGTCTTTGCAAAATTGAATTCCAAAAATACCTATCACATCTGATTTTAATGCGTAGGCTGTTCTAAAGCTTCTATGAAGAGAAAAGACACTAAGAACTGGAAAAGGTAACAGAATCAGTGTCCCAAACCTCCAAGATTTTAGAACACCGGAACCTAAGTACAGCTCCCCATGACCTCAGTTGGGCTTATTTTTTCCCTAGTATTTCTACCTTGAGAGTGAAATAAAAAATAAGAAAGCCAGATAGTGGCAGGAAACTCTTTAAAAACCCGATTAGCATGAAACAATCTGGTTAGTATACATTCAGCCTAATCTTATTCCTTCTTTAGAACTTGCTAAAAGTAATATTCAGGCTTACCATCCACTTGGGAAGATCTCAATCTTCAGAGATCCAAGTATATATTCTCAACTCTCAAGAAACTGAGATAGGCATTTTAGGAAGCCTTTTCCTCCTGCTTCCCCTACTCCCAAAAGAGGTACCATAAAGCCTTTCAAAAGCACATAAAGGATGCCCAGTGAATAGGATGACTCATGGATATTTGTCCTTCAGTTCACGAGAAAACGATTACCAGAATGTAGCACTAGCATGTAAATGCCACAAGAACAAGAATTTTTATACATTTTGTTTCCTAACATAACCCCGAAGCTCAGAACAGTGCCTGACATACAACAGCCATTCAGCAAACATTTGTTGGGTGGAATTTTTCAGAATGAGTATTCTGAACATTTCAAAAGAATTCAAGTTTTACAACCTGAGGCAGCTGTACTTTCACTTATAAATATGGATGTATGTATTGGGAAAAAAAAGGAAAAAAAATCCTTGACAAATGACACTCTTTCATACATGGGAAATTATGGCAGGCCTGCACTCTCACCTTGAATTTTGATATACAACACTGGAGAATAAATATGTGGCTTTTGAGAATTAAGGCCAGTCCAAGTATTTTCCAATTGGATACTCATGATGGCCAAAGTCATAAGTCATTGGACTCCGATCAATACCCAGTTCAGCATTAGGTCATTAGCACTCATTAAAGTGAAGGATGGATAACTGTGCTCCCAAAAAACCATTTTAAAGATTCTTAATATACCATCTGGATAAAGAGCACCAAAGGGTTTGTTCTAATTACTCCTCTTTTTTTTTTTTAATTGAAGGGTAGTTGACACATAGTATTACATTAGTTTCAGGTGTACAACACAGTGATTTAACATTTATATACATGATAATTCTAGGTACCAGCTATCACCATACCAAGTTGTTACAATCTAATTACTCCTCTTAATTCCTTTTTCTGGTCTGTCACCTAAACCAGTTAGGTTCTTCTTGAATTCAAATATCATGGCTCCTAAAAGCCTAGTGCTGCCTGCCATTCATTTTACAACATTCAAAATAAACCAATAGAGTGCAGCCTATTTATAACCAATCTGAAGAATACATGAAAAGAGATAAATCAAATGAATAAACCCAAGCTCAAAATAAATGCTTAATTAAAATGCAAAACAGGTTTTGGGTTTGAAATCTCCTAGTTTCCAATTTCATTTAAATATTTCTACTTTACTTATGTATTTTCAAGAATGTCTATGGTTGTCATAAATACTTAGAATGACAATAGCGGCTCTGATTCTTCCAGTAAGAAGGAAGAGGGCTTGGCCTTCAGAGCTGCATTTATTAACTCAGGACAGGGGGTCCATGGCTGCAACCCAAAAGCAGATAACCAAAGATACAAAGGCATTTGTCTGCCAAATCCTCAACTGTGATTAAAACTGGCATCCCTAAGTACCAATGGTAACTTATTTATTCCAATGTGTCCAAGACACTGTTAGCCCTCTAATGTAGCAACCTCTCTGTACACATGGTGGCAAGCAACTGGAAAGCATCAGCGTGCCTTTTAAATAAGAAGAGTTGCATCAAGCTCATTACTTCCCAGAGGATCTCATTTGAAGGGATCAGAGCATTTGCCTGCCCACACGTCTATGCAGTTGGCTGCCTGGCCAATGGGAAAAAGAAACCAGCTGCCCAGAAAGGCAGATGACTCACCCAAAGTCACACAATGGTAGTAGGTCATCAATGGAAAGAAGGTATAGGCCTGTGTGTTTCTGAAATTCCTGGCTGTGCTGAGAGGCAGCCCAAATGGTAGTGGAAAATAAAGTGCTCTTCCGTCTCTTCTCACTTCTAATGGTAACTCTTTCCCTCTCTGTCCTTGATTCCACCTCCTCTCCAATCCTCTTTTGTTCATCCCTTTCCCTTTCTCTCTCTCCACTTTCCTCCATTCTCCACCCCTTCTCTCCTTCCCTCCCTCTAACCCCTCTGGCGCCCTCCCTGAGTGACAGCAATGTAAGCAGAAGGAGGGAGGCCTGTCTCTCCCTCTTGATTCATGCTGTTTATCCTGGCCTCGTAAACCTTCTAATAACTCATGGAGATGGCACTGTGATGGGCTGGCAGGCAATTGCCGGCTTCGGGCAGCTCATGACTCAAGACGATAATCACACTAATAAGAGGTTGGATGCACAGATCCGACCCTAAAGGAAGGGTTTGTCACTTAAGGAAGGGCAAACAAGGAAGCAGAAGGTCCATTTCTGCCTAATAGGCAGAAGGCAATGCTGGGAGGTGATGGCCCAAATAATCCCACTATCTGGGAAGCCCAGCTCCTAGGATGGATGGACTTAAAGATCTCAGGAGCTATCTTTCTGGGTTAGTCGAAGATTCAGGAGCAGTGTCTGTGAAAAGCATTTAAGGTTTTCCTTCAAGTCACACATTTGATGGTGTCACTCCCCAACCTGAAAATTAACTCTCCAACCCCAACCTTTATTCTTTGGCTAAAGCCTAGAATTCAGAGCCTTGTATCTGGAATCCCTGCCTTACTCTGTCTTGTTGACCCTCTGGCTTTCTGCCCTCCAGCCTTCCTACACACTATTTCCTCTGCCAGCAATGCCTTTCCTGACCACTTCGCCTTGCTAACTTCAAGGCTGAAGTGTTGGCTTATAGGCTAATTCTTCAAGGAGATTTTCCCTGATTCCCACCTCCCCCCATGCCCAATCATTGGGTCAGTCTCATAGCACAACTCGCCCTTAATGATTAAAAGGACAATCTCCCAGCCTGGAGGTTTGGGGGGGACCTTCACTTACACGTGTTCTTTTTAACTTTTCATTTTGAAATGACTTCAAATTTATAGAAAAGTTATAGGGATAGTACAGATAATTCCCATATGCCATCACCCATTCTTATTTCTCCCTCCTCCTGTATAGGTATACATATACTTTTTCCAGAGTCATTTTAGTGTAGACTACCTAGACCATGTCCTTCGTCTCTTATACTTGGTATTTCCAAAGAACAAGGACATTATCTCATGGTACAATTATAAAATTCAGAGAGGCACTTTCAATATTCCAATTTTGACACTTGACTCAAAGATGTCCTCTATAGCATTTTATTCCTCTATCCAGAGCCATCCAGGATTGTACAGTACAATTAGCAGTCCCTTCTCTTTAGTTGCCTTTATTCTGGAACAATTTCTGAGCCTTTGTCTTTCACAGCAATTTTTTTTAGTTTCAAAAAAAAAAAAACTGGCCCATATTCATAGAATGTTCCATAATTTGGGTTTGTCTTAGAGTCCTCATGATTAGTTTCAGGCTTTTCACCCGTCAGTATACGTGATGTTGTGTTCTTCCTGGGGGCTTCTTTGAGACCATGCAAATAGACTTTTTCTCATTGAATTTTCTCCTCAGGATTTCATGGATCTTTGCCTTAATGAGTCTTTACCACACAGTCCCAATTCCCTCTACATTTATCAGTCAGTGTTCTGCACAGTGGAGACCTCCCACTCCTCTGCTGATCTATTTATCAGTTTAGACTTGCAGGGTCCTTTTTCGTTCCAGTTTCTAATCCACAACTGTCCTCAATTATTTGGATGCTCCTGTGGTCTTGGATGAGGTTGTTCTTCATAGCCCTGAGGGCGGAACTAGTACTTTTGGGAGGCAGTGACCTAATGAAAGAAGAGCTTTTGAAGGATCCCAACTCTGCATCACTAGAACTGACTGACTGAGGACCTAGTAAGCTGCCCATCACAGGAAGTATTTAATAGAGTCTGTTGACTGGTCTTCATAAACACAATCCATGCATCAAGTTGGGGTTTTTAAAAGTCCCTTCTAGACCTTATAGTTGAGACTTGCAGCAGAATCCTGAAAGGAGAGTATATACATTTCGGAGGAATGTTCAGAAGAATACTAACTGCTGAGAAGAGGAAATATCCAGGCCACCTGTTGGAAATACAACCCAGACTTGTAGGAGCAGGGGCTGCTGTAAAATTCTTATCCCTAATCTCTCAGCTTCTCTTGAACATCCATGCATGCCAGACACCATGTTAAATGCTGTGAACTCAGAAAGGCAGACAACTCAGACCCTGGACAAGAGAAGGCCCAGGCCCAACACAGCAGCCTGGAATGAGAGAGGAAGTCCCTCCAGCTCTGCCTGGAGCAGCTCAGAGAGGAATCAGAGAGAAACTTACTTTAAGAACGAGTAGGAGTTCACCAATCGAAGGAATACTGTTAACCTCTAGGATTCTGTCTAGCACAAGGCAGAGTCATCAAGACTCCAAGCCTGAGAAAATTTTAGATCAATAGCAAGATAACGAGGAGAAGAGAGACATAGGCACACATACACATATGCATGTTGAATCAATGTACTCACGTGTTTTACTACATTTTCTTTTAATGGACACTTGTGTGGGAGAAAGCATGGACTTCAAAGTGAAGAGTACAACTGATCAACGGTTCAGCATCCTGATCAGAAAATGTTGTTCCCTAGCCCTTGCCAAGAGATCCGTGTTCACAGGATCACACTGAACTGGCTGATAGACAATCGAGAGAAGATGTCACAAAGGACTCCTACATTTGGCTGTCTCCTCAGCTCCCCATCTTCTGTTCTCCACTCTAGAGGCAAGGGTGTGAACCTGGCAGTCAGAGAGAGAGAAACACGTCCTGACATCTGCTTTTATGTAGAGAGTCCCTGGCAGGAGTGGGTCTCTCCTGGAGGCAGAGAGAAAGAACTTGGTGGCCTGAGGTACAGTCTCGGTACTGGTACTAACTTGAGCCTCTAAAATTACAGACCAGCAGCCCAGGCCCAAAAAAGGGGTTATCGCCTAGGGATGTTCATGTCATCTGAATAGATTCAGGGAAGCATCTTCCAGAGCAATGATAAAAATTGTGCTAGTTGACATGCCTGTGGCACTATGTTTAGGAAACTCTCAACACACACGCTGACACTCACCTGTTCTGAGTCCCTGACAGACATAACCAGTCCATCATGACACACCGTAACACTGACATGGAGAC